ACAACCACAAACACAATCACAAACGCAACCACAAACACACAGCCACAAACACAATCACCAACACAGAACCACAAACACGTAATCACAAGCACACAACCACAGACACACAACCACAAGCACACAATCACAAACACACAATCAACAAGGCACAACCACAAACACACAACCACAGCCACAATCACAAACACACAATGACAAGTACACAACCACGAACAGAACCACAGCCACAACGACAAAGACGCAACCACAAGCACAACCACAAACGCAACCACAAACACAATCACAAACACATCCCTACTACTACTACTACTACTACTCCTACTGCTACTGCTACTGCTACTGCTACTGCTACGACTACTGCTACTGCTACTACTACTACTACTACTACTACTACTACGTCTACCACTACTACTACTACTACTACTACTACTACTACGACTACGACTACGACTACTAGCACCACCACCACCACCACCACCACTACTACTACTACTACCACCACTACCACTACCACCACTACTACTACTACTACTATGATGACTACGATGATTTAATGAGTGAATGAATGAATGAACGAACGATCGAACGAAGGGACGAACAAAATGAATGAACGACCTGCTTTTTCTGACATTTGGATTGCCTTCGACACTGAGCAGATTGGGCTGAACGTGGCTGTTTTGAAATGTCATGGTGGGGATCACTCGAAGTAAAGTAATCTGTTTAAACATGTCTTTTAGGTAATTAATTTCTTTGTCGTTACTGCTGAGTCGAAAATCCAAAACAACAATTGCTCAGTGCCAGGTCTGATGCCTTTTCCTCCACCCAAAAGGGTTGTCAATTCTGAGACTGACTTTGGGGGCAACATGCCTTGACCGTTGAGACTTGTTGCTGAAAAGCTCTGGGCAACAACGCCAAGCTCCCACCAGTGGCCCAAGCCAGAAATCGACCAGGTCGCAGTCTCCTGAATCCTGAAACGTCCCACAAGTGGCCCAGCGGCACAGCAACAGCCAACATGCGCAGCATGATACAACAACAATGGTCACTACTGCAACGGCCGGCAAGCCAATGACGAGTCACAATGATATGGCGAGACATGACGACAACATCAATCTTGGCAACGGCAAGAAACGTCTCGAGCGACAACAACATCAATGAGAAACCACACCAACAACAGCAATTAGAATTAGAAGGCACAATGGTAACCGTATGTAGCAGCAACAGCACCTACACTGTGGTAGTGAAATAATGATAGGAACGATTAGGAATGTAGAATGCACAGCAGTACCCCTTAAACGGGCTCGGAATGCGGTCCTGTCAGGTCAGGTTAGCTTGAAGTAGAGTTGTTCCTTTCCGGTAGAATGACTTAATATGACTAGATATATGATCGAACCGAACAGGCAGTTGGACAAGTGATGTGCTTCTGCGTTTGCGCAGGATGCATTGAGTATTCTCTTCTACTCAGATCTCCTCTCACTCGGAGACATTGAGTCTGAACCTGAGAGTTGCAATGCGACTCAGTCTTCCTTCTTTGACAGTTGCTATTGACTTGCTTTGTGAGGCATCTCAAGAGTCATCCATCTGATAGCATTTTCCCGGATCCACGGGAGGAAGACTTGTCGGCCTGGCCTGTCCAACACATGTTTCTTGCAAGAGAGAATGGGGCACAATCGAGGCCGGCGTTTTCAGGGACGCCAGACACAGAAGAACGTTCATCCATGAAAAACACCAATCCAGAGTTTGCGTCAGGGTCTCGGGAACTCAATTTGGACAAATCAAACATAGAAACTTGTTGCTTAGGACTGAAAAGGATCCAAAGGTGACTTGGCGCAGTCCAGAGCGAGGGGTTTCCTTGCAGACTTATTTGCCTTGGATTTGAAGGAGGCACCTAGTGGTCCGCCAGGCCCAGCTGTAGGCACGTTCGACTGCTTCAACCCTTTCAGTGATTGCTTCCTTTTGCTTTCCCTTCATTTTCCCTGGTTCCTCTAAAGACATTAAAGGTTCCAGATTGTTCTAGAAGAAGTCGAAGTTGAGGGCACGGGGCATTGATAGTCATTGCCTTGCATTCCTATGAAGACTGACATGATACAATGATACATTGAACATAATGTTGCCAGATCCTCGAACGCCAACTCCACCAGATGCCAACATCGAGGTGCTGTCCAGTTTCGCAAGCATTGACATAGCAAGCATGGTTTGACAACATGATGTAGCACAATGACGATGACTGAATGGTAACATTTGCAGCTTCCTCTCACTGCTGTGTGCAATTTGTTTGACTCCACAACACAGAGATTGGAGCAGATTGCTTCAATTGCAGGGTGCCGCGAGCCCATCACTAGTCAAGGAGCACCGTGTTTGTTGCTGACCTCCTTTCTTTGCTCGAACGTCACAAATGGAAGGACAGTGCCTTCCAAGTTTGGGCCTTGGTACAGACACATCTACGCCAGATTGCTGTTGCAACCATCGGTTTGCGACGGCATGCAAATGCACAAAGTGTGCTTCCAATAGTTGGAATCGAATTGCTTGCGTCTTGTTTCAAAAAAAGGTTCATGTGCTCTACATACATTGACCCACGTACACTGATCACATGAAGCAGCAATGCTGAGGTGGAAGCGCTAGAGGAGTTTCGCCAGCAGAGTTTCAAGGCAGCTTTGCAAGTTGATTTGGCAAGAAAGTCTGGGCTGAGCTATTCTGACTTTGAGGCCGACTGGCTGGAGGTGGTGGCAATCTTGACTGAGGCACAGCCCCTCCCTCCTGCCAAGACCATCCAAAACCTAGAAAAACGTAGGGTCTTGAAAAAAACACTCAGTTTTACAACTAAAACGGGGTTTCTCAAAAACCACCCACAACATACGTTGTTTGTTTTATGTGTAAATTATTATGTGTGTTGCATGGAATAAATATGGGTTCTGACACGAGAAACCGTGTTTCCACTGAAAAAACTGTCGTTTTGGTGTCTTATTGGAGGCCATCACTATTAGGTTGGAGGCCATTGCTAAAATACGGTTTTTCAGGGTTTGGTTGTCCCCACGGATGGACTGGGCTCGACTCAGGTCTTTCGGCCTCCGAGCTCCAAACGAATTCATTGGGCACTCGATGAAAGCTCTGCTGCGGAGGTGCCGTTTTCACTCTGCTGAAAGAAATGGACACATGGGAGCCGATCGTAAATGCAAATCTAAGAATTATGAACGGGCATGTGTATCTCAGCATCTGCGATTGTAAAACCCTGCATCGCGGTTGATCGGCGATTGGTTCGCGATTGAGACAAGCATTTGTTGTATCAGAATCGACCATTGTAAGAGGAGAAATCAATATTATATGGCATGCTAATCATGTTACAGTTCAGCCTTACACTGTATTTGGGTCTGCGTAGACACTGTGTTCAATAGTGATAGCCAATAGCAAAGAAGAATCAGAACAACAAAGTTCAAAGTCTACCAGCCCAGATCAATTCAATTCTCAAAAAAATATGTCGACGAAATCCGCGATTGGTTCGCGATTGATCCGCGATTGTGCTGCGATTGTTAAACCCGCCTGAGTGGCACTGGCTCACGCCATGTCTCTAGATACTGTGATATGTGGCAATGTTTCGACGAGTCTTTGTGCAAAGTATTGTTGCATACGAGAGCACTCTCCCGCGATTGACACCGTTGGGATCTCGATTGATTCGCGGTTGATCGGCGATTGTAGCTGCCTCAGATACCTTTATTTTGATCAACACCCACATATTTTAAAAAGACGTATAAAGACAGAATCGTTTGTCTATGATATTGCTATAGTCGTTGTTGTTGTTTTTGTTTTTTTCAGAAGCTCAGAAGTGCTCTCTTGCAACTGTGTAGGAGCTCTCGCTACTGGACTACCTTGAAACAGAGCTTACATTTCCAGAATTCCAGAGGCTCTTGCAGAGACCTTGGAGCTCTCTCAACAACATTGAGCTGATTTGTCACATCTCCGGTCCACAGATAGTTTTTAACCGTCATTGCCTTTGGTCACCATGAGGTTACGAATTGCAAACATTCCAGCCGAAAAGGCAGGTCACTCGTGCCACGTGCATCGCACCCAAGCAACGTATAGACTTGTGTAGAATATATATATAGATAGATAGATAGATAGATAGATGCAACAATGAAGGATACTGCAACATGCCAGAATAGAAACACATGCAATTCATACGTTGCTAATTGCTGCTGTGTGAGAATCATACGGAAGACTTGGAAGAGTTGTTTTTTTTTTTCAAATCTTGCTTGGAGGTAACACACACAGCATCTTTGCCTTCGCACGCCTGCTTGGATGTATTCCTGAACCAGGCTTTGGTCAACAACAATGTGAAACGCATTTAATTGCTGAATACTTCAGTCTGGATCCCTGCACAAACCAAAGAACATATGCAGGTCTTCATCCCAGCTGTTGAATCAGCGCGCCTCATCGGCAATAGATTCGACACGACATTGGCAATTCGATGATCTCCACTCTTGTTTTGATGGCTCGACATTCAAGACCGTTGACGATAATTGGATATCTTCAGGATGCATACTTGAAGTTCGTGTTAGTTTCTTGATGCATATTGATGCCATTGTGGTCCTTTCCCTCCAGGCCTTCAAAGGTGCCTCCGGAACCTGAATTCAGATCTGAAACAGTGGAGCCTGTGGAGCCTCACCAAGAGCAAGCGTTCAGACCTCAGCTGACCTTAAACCTCAACATCACACTCTAAGTGCACACAAGCAGCATGACTTGCAGCTAACGGCTGGACGAATATGCAATCTTCACATAAATTTTGTGGTCAAAGCACTAGGAAGGAGGAACAAGAGCCAGGAGCTGCAGAGGGAGCGGAGGAGGAGCTTAGCGAGCTTTGTCCGATGCATTATATCTTGCTAGGTAGTTCATTGTGGCTTAAATCATGCCTTGGTTTTGTCATGTTTCTTGTCCAGAATATATATAGAATATTATAGACAATTGTATACATATATTATCATACAATATCATACAAAAATTACAGGCTTTGAGCGTTGTTGTTGTTGGTGGTGGTGGTGGTGATGCTGGAAGTCAACTGTGAAGTCAAGTGTTTGGGAAGTGACCATGTTGTAAACAATGTATTTTGGTTCTAGCTTCTGTGCACGGGACTGTTTGACTCAAAAGAGAACAGGCCTAAAAGGTTCCGAACATCACACACTGAAAGCATCTTAAGGCATACACAGTATACTGTATGTTTTCTTACTTGATATACTCGAGCTACAAGTTCACAACATGGAATTTCCTGTCAAAACTTCGCTATGAGTCACTTCATAACAGAACTTGAGAACATGCGGTTGGTCGGTGGGTGGGCCGTGATGCACGCATATGCTCTCACAACCTCCTGCCAAATGAAATTTGCTAAAAGCACTGCACAGGATTTCATGCACTTTCAGCGTTCATGCACTTTCAGCAAAATGGCAAGATGGTGTCGGCATACATTGGCTAGTGGCAGCGTACTGAAGACAATTGACATATTTGGCATTTAACTGCCAATGCGCAGGCTTGGAACCTCACAAATATTGCAGAACCACAGTTCATGATTGCAAGTACTGGGAAGTAAGGTGTCATTTTGGGACTTTCTTGAGGAGCCAGAGGCAAAAGAGGCAGTGAAAGTAGCCACTCCGCGCTTTTGGCCTGAACCTTTGATCCAATTTTCACACCCAGAAGGGTCTGTTGTGGACACTATTTTAGCACGCTTTTCAGTGTCACATGCAGTTTCATCGTTTCATCCAAGGCTTGGCTTTTGTGATCCATACCATTTGGATGTGGCTGCATCTGTTTGGTGCTTGGAAAATTCAACTGAAAGCAACAAGGCAAAGGACGCTACTAGGAGCAAAGGGCATCGCTACTAGGAGCAAAGGACGCTACTAGGGGCTCCTGGCCTTACTACTAATAACAAGAATCTACTAGGGGCTCCTGGCATCGCTACTAGGAGCAAGGACGCCACTAGGAGCAAAATCTGGAGAGAGTTGCTGTCAAAGGAACGCCACAATTTTCAGCTTGAGTTTGACACGCTTCAGGCGACCCCACGTTCATGGCCAGAGGAATATGCAGATCAAGTCTATCCCCTCAGCTTTTGACCCTTGTCGTCGCCAATGCATTTTGCAGAAATGAGGTGCTTGATTGGTGAAAACCCGGAAGATGCTGGAAGAAAGTTAAGATTGTATTTTTAACTTGTGCATAGGACAGCCTGGAGCGAATAGCGTTCCTCACTTTTCTCCGCAAGAAGTGGAGAAAACGATGTGTGGCACGTGACAAGACACATCAAGGCACATCAAGGCACCAGTTTATGCTTGGCCGTCTGGCCGTGTTGCCAAGGACTAGTCCAGTACAAGCACTGTGCAGCATCCTCAGCATCACAACAAAAGTTGTGAGTTGAGATCTACAATGTCTCGAAGTCCGCACGAAAAGCCACCTACATCTTGCTGAGCAGATACGAAAGCACATTTGCCCCTTGCGATGCTACAGCAGTGCGGCTAATCTCCACTCTTGAGACATTATAAGACATTATATATATATTATATATATAGGGCATTTCACATTTTTGGTCCCTTACATCTTCCAGACTTTGGAATCGGGACTAGCCTGCTGAGTTTTTTCGGGAATGGTTTTTGAGGTTTTGAGACACAAGCATTAAAACCAGATCTTCAAGTCAAGTCCATGGTCTTCCATGCACCTTGTATTGTATGGCAGGTTCTTGGGGCCCTTGGATAGAGATGTGGGCTTTGTCGGACAATTGAAGCGCAAAAATCAGGTTTGCTTTCACCTTTTTGGACTGTTCTTACTCACTTTGCTTATTGTGTTGATGTGCTTTGACTGTTTAATTACCATCGCCAGCAAGTAGCACATACTGGTGCCCAGGGCAAGCCAATCAGCGGGAAGAAACTCAGATTAGGATATTATCTCGGTTTTGGAGGTACGATGGTTGTGGCCACCTTGCACATATTTTAGTTTGCCAAACAAATGTCTTTGGAGCTAAGCTCATCCCGTATCTTCTAGGCCTCACTCATCCCTGCAGCCATTGCAGTTCTAAAAGTTCTTTTTCAAGCTCACTAGCCATCATTGAATATCAGTCAATGCCATGCCGCTGATGCAACAGTCTTTTCTGATTGATGAACCTGGAGGGTCGAGTTGGCGGAAATACAATGCAGGCAGCCTAAACTCCCTGGTCTCGCATTGCCAGACAGGTCTGGACCAGTTCACCCAGCAACACACCGGTGGCTCACTCAGAGCATCCAGGTTGGGTGGCTTCGCTGGTGGCTTCCCTGGTGGCTTCCTTACTATCCCAAGCCAACGTGTTCGGCATGCATCATTTTTCGAGGATGGATTTCAAGCTTCATCGAACCAACGAGTTCGGAATGATGAGAAGTTGGAAAAATCTTATGGGGACACAGCGGATGATGCTGAGCAGTCCAACATCCCAGACCCAGTGCCAGATGAAAGGGACACCTCTCATCAAACAGGTGAAGAGAAGCTCTTGCAGAAGATTCACGAGGATGAAGAAAAGGTTGTTCAAATGGTCATTGCTCAGAAAGCAGCTGCCAAGCATGAAGCTCAAGCTGAAGCTCATCGAGCAGCTCAAGCCGCTCAAGCCAGACACCAATCCCAGGATGTTTCACGGTCCACACGACAAGTGCACCTTCCCATGGACGAGCTTCGCTGCCGCAAGCGGACCAATCCATTGTCCTGTCAGGATTTGCAGGCGCAGTGCGCGTGGAGTGGTGATGAAATCACTGGCAGTTGTCATCACAGTGATCCCGAAGAATGGCCAAGAGGTTGGGACTTCCTCTTTGGCATGGGTGAAGTCGTGTTGCTCGAAACTGCTGTCGTGACAACTGCCATTGTCACACGCTTGCGTGGAAGAGACTTGCTCCGGCAATTTGTCGAGCGACCTTCGTATTCCCTCCGAGCCTCAATGTGGTTTTATCCCACAGCTGCAATGTATTTCTTGACTGGTTGGTACTATTACACCCGGACTCAAGGTTGGGACTCCTTTAGCACAATCTACTTCCTAATTCAGGTGGTGTCAACAGTTGGTGCAAGTGACATGAGCCCAGTGCATCCAATGCCTAAGCTCTTCACTATCTTCCATGTTCTCCTCGGCCTCGTTCTCATTGGTGGTGCTGTTGGTGACGAACTGGACAGAATACTGGAAACAAGAATTGCACGAATGTCAGATGCCGTTGCAAGGGGTGCAGACTTCCAAGACTTGGTGCCCATTTTATGGCGTGTTGCAGCAGAGACACGGGAAGCTGCAGGAAGTCGTGATACATTCGAGAAGCTCCTGACCAAGCTCGAAGAAGAGTTGCCATTGACCTCGCCAGAGCTACCTTTGATGGCAGAGCGGCTCCGATGGTTGCGAGACTTTCAAGGAGGTGAGGTGATTTTGGCAGAATTGACCGGCACCGGGGCTTTAATTCCATGGCCACGAGCTGGGCAGTTGTGGGTGGGAGCTGGAAGACGATACAAGGCATTAAGGCCTTTGCTGCAATACGTGCTAGACAATCCAACGTCTGGCATGCCAATCTATGACACGGACAGTCTTTTTGTTGATGTTGTGTTTTGCATCGTTGTCCTTTCTGTTCCATCTTGGGGCAGCATCATGCAGGTGTGTCTTGGCATCCCTTGGGTAACAGTTGAACTGATTTCAAGCGTTGACACTGTCAATCAACTTCCCAGACACACTTCAGACAGACACGAAGGTGTCACACATGATTTGCTTGCTCTTGCCCTGGAGAGGACAGTGTTATAGATTTGCTGGACCCTTGCTTGCAGTGATGGGCAGGAAGTTGTGTTATGTGAGGTTCTTGAATAACTTTTGGAAGCTAATCAATTGCACAGCCCTCCATTGGCACAACCTTTGGTCCTTTTGGTCTACTTCAGGAAGATGATTCTGTGCCCACGGGCTGCATTAATCCATCCATCGCTGCAGGTTGAGCTTGTTCGGCTGGTTCCTTTGAATATAGCTACTAGGAGCAAGGACGCTACTAGTAGCTCCTGGCCGTACTACTAGTATCAAGAAGCTACTAGTAGTGAGAAATTTTGTGTCGGTCACCGGACTTGGTTTCGCACATGGCATGACACGCTGTGTACCGCGGCCGACTAGGCCTTGAGCTAATCTGCTACCGGAAAAAGGTTAGCAGTCGGGCGTCCTTTCGATCGTGCCATATCGTTCGCTTTGGACCCTACTGGTTTCCGCAGTGGTTGCGCGGAGCCTTGGCTTGGCGATCCTCGTGACCTTTGAGCCCACTACGCCCTTGAGGAGACCTACGGCTAGCTTTGAGACTGACTCCAAGGTCACGCAGACGCTTGGGGTGACCGTGGGTGCCACTACTTGCTTGGCTGTTTAGCCACCTGAGCTCGCCGAAGCTCAAACTGAACAACAACGTGGACTTCGCCAACGACGAGAAGAACTTGGAGTGCATTTTTGGTTGAACTTGACCAATGTCAGATGAGAAGGGACATCGCTATGCAGGAGGCTGGTCAGAGTCAGGCTTCGACTCCTCTATCCCCGTTTGGGATGGAAGAGCTGACTCTCTGAGAGAGTTCAGGAGGACGGTGACTTGGTGGTTGTCTTCGATCGACCTCACGAAGACCAAAGGTTTCAACTTGGCTGCCAGGTTTGCCATGAAGCAGAAAGGTTCGGCCAGGATGAGGGCACTTGAGTTCTCGCCTGAGGATTTATCCTTTGTGCCAGAAGAAGCTGTTGAAGACCCTGACAACCCTGACGGAGACAAGATCATCCTGAAGGAGGCCGACTACACTTGTGGAGTTTGGCGCCTCATTGAGGCCTGGGAGACAATGGTTGGCAAGACAGCCAGCGACAAGAAAGGAGAACTCCGTGAACGCTTCTACATGACTTTGAAGAGGAGTTCAAACGAGGCTGTGGTGAACTTTTCACTCAGGTACCGCACCCTGGTGGCTGAGATGCGTGCAGAGGGCATTGCTTTGGACGATGCTGAAAGTGCTTGGTTCTACAAACAGAAGCTGAGTTTGACCGAGGTGCAGAAGCAAATGCTTGAGACGACCCTTGGGGGCACTGCAGAGTCTTACGCTGAGTGTGAGCGTGAGGCGGTTCGCCTTTTCAAGCGGACCCACGTGGTTGGAACGCCAGCTCCTTTGACGCCATGGAAGAGACCTATGATGGGTCGCCCTGGATCTGGCAAAGGAGGCACTTCAACTTGGAGGAGACCTTCTTCCTCGGCTTCAACTTCCGTGTCAACGAGCTCTTCTAACTTCTCTCGTGGTTCTCGCATGAGCCTTGGTGCATCAGCTGTGAATGTTGCTGAGCAAGACCCCTTGGTTGAGACTGAGGAGTATGAGATGGAGCCCTATGATGCTCTTGAGAGTCAAGCTCAAGAGATGCCTGAGGACTCAACTCGAGATGATGGAGCTCTTCAAGCCTTGGAGGAAGAGATTGAAGTTCTGGCTTCTGAGCTGGAAGCTGCAGCTCAAGAGGGCTGCGATGGTGCCGAGCTGGAAAGCTTGGAAGAACAACTCGACGGTGCTGTCGAGGCCTTGGTGACTTTGCGAGAAGCTCGTGCTCAAATCGCATCGCTGCGGAAGGATCGTGGCTTCAGAGGTCCAGGTGTTTCTGCTGGACCACCTGGCAAGAAGAAAGCTGGGCAATGTCATGCCTGCGGCCGTGAAGGCCATTGGAAGGGAGCTCCAGAATGCCCCGCTGGTGGTTCTTCTGGTGGCAAAGCTGGAAAAGCTGGTGGAAAGAAAGGTCGCCTTGGTTCGGCCTTAAAGGACAAGAAGACCACAGAGTCTCATGTCGCGGAGGTGAATGTCATTGACCTTTTGCCTTCTCACCGCAGTGTTTCCTTTGCCACCGACCTTCCACAGGTCCATGATGTTGCAGTGACCGAACAGGTTCATGAAGTGGCAGTTGGTGAATGCTTGATGGAGGCATTGATGTCTCTGAGTGGATCAACTTCGAAGCTTTCAGAAGACAAAATCTTGCAGGCGGCCTTAGACAGTGCTTGCAATCGCTCATGTGCCGGAACTACATGGATCCAGCATACAGTTCAAGCACTACAGCTGGCCCCCTCCTATGTCAGAGAGCTGATCCATAGAGTTCCGGAACGTGAACGTTTTCGTTTCGGGAATGGTGGACAACTGACCTCCGAAGAACGTGTTCGGCTCCCCTTCGTGATTGCTGGCAAGATTGTTTTGGTATGGGTTTCAGCGGTTCCTTGCAGTTCTTTCGGGCTTTTGTTGGGGAAAGACGCTCTAGATGCGCTTGGAGCCTTGTTGGACTTCATGGGAAACCGACTTCAACTACAACTGTTGGCCCCTGACAAGTGGATTCCCCTTCGAAAGCTGAAAGCAGGACACTTCTCGATTCCTTGTTTGCCAACTCCTTTGACTCGATGGCCGTCGGTTTCGTCTTCCGAGTGGATCGTCATCGGCAAGGGTTCTTGTTGTGAAGTACAAGTTGGTAGCAAGCAGAAGTGGTTGCTAAAGAAACTGAAGAAAGCAAGTGCTGAAGCATCTGTGCCTGAGAGTCAAGTGACAGAGCATTTTTTACCGGAAGCTTTTTTGGAGCAAAGTTCAGACGCTTGGCTTCACCATGCATCCCGGCCCACCGCGATGGATCGCTCATGGGAACCGTCAGCCGGAGAGCCGAGCAGCTTTCCGTTGGTCCAGGATGATCACTCGGCTGAAGACTCGAGTGAAGTGGCACTGGCATGGAATTCTTCTTTGGCTGGTTCAGCGGCCATACCTGAGGTTTTTACCACCTCCTTTACCGTCAGTGACCACAGTGAGCGCATGGCAGGAGCAGGTGAACGCCATGGTGGAGAGGTTTGCATGGCCGAGAGCTTGGCACAGGCGGATAGACATCGGGAACCTGTGCACCATCTTCCACCTCAAGGAGTGTGCTCATCTTCGAGATCGGATGGGTCTGCTGTTGGCCTTTATGGAGGACGATGCGATCACCTTCGGCCTGGTGGCATTGAAGCGGCAACCTCGGAAGAAGTTGCAAGAAGCAGCGGCTCAGGAGACAATGAGATTGCTGCTGCTGAGTCGAGAAGAGAGGACGCAGCAACTTCGCGCCTTACTCGGGCCAAGAGGAGGATTGCCGAGGCTCAAGGACGAGCTGGTCAAAGCAGCCGCATTGCTGAACGAGAAGGTCGACCGAGAAGCCACAGTCGATCAGATCAGGAAGCAGCTGCAGCCCATCGTGAAGGCCTTGATCGGGAAGCCGAACTGGGAAGCACCAGACATCCCGCGATCGTCAAGCCCAAGCCCACAGCAGCTCGAACACCACAGATAGTGAATCTGGCTTCTCTCGATTCGCAAGATGGTTTCGCCGCGCTTCAAGGGCTTCAAGCAGCTCACTTGAGGGTCCACAGACTTCAAGAGCCGCGACCAGAGCGACAGGCTTGGGATGTGGAGCAGGTGGAGGACAGCCCCATGTCAGAGACGTCCTTCTTTCATCTCCAGATGGACGAGGCCGCTTGGGAGGAGACAACAAGAGTCCTGATGCAGGATCTGGAGCATGTGGAGCTGGCACAGCCCCTGGAGGAGGATGTGGAGCGCCTGAACGAGGGCGATCTGCTGTGAGTCTCGGCATTGGGAAGATGACCAAGAAGGCCTTTGCAACCATGAAGCGAGGACTCAAACAAACTGTTCATCAAGGTTTCCTTCGTCTTCGCAAATTGCATGAAGCTCTCTCCATCGACTTCAATGAAGTGCATGAGATCTTGGAGGCTTCTGAGTATAACCTCAAGATGGAAATCATTGAGGGCATCAAGGAGCCCTTCGTTGTTGAAGTGAAGATGCCGCCGTTGCCTCAGTATCAGAACTTCGCCTACAGAGAGGCCATGGAGACCAGCTTCAATGCAGCTGGACAACTTCCCTTGGTTGGTGAGACCTTCACGGACTCTGAACAGGTGAAGAAACAGGCAGAGCTTCGTGGCCACAGCACGATGGAAAGCATGACCTTAGCCACAGGCTTTGACTTCTTCCGGCCCAGTCACCAGAGGAGAGCCTTTTGGCAGGTGGAGGATGATGACCCTTACTGCCAAGTCATTGCCTTCCCATGTGGTCCATGGTCACCCTTGCATGCCCTACGTGCTCGTGATCGACATCGTGCCGCCTTGCTGAAGTGGCGCAGAAAGAAGCATGTGAAGTTGGTGAACTTCGCAGTGGCCTTAGCTCGTAAGCAGATGAGGCGGAAGAAACACTTCATCATGGAAAACCCCTCTCGCAGCTTGGCATGGGAGTCAGTAGCCAGTTTGAAGAAGCTACTGGAAGAACCTGGTTTGCATCTGGTGGAGATAGACCAATGCCGTTTTGGGCTTAGAGGTCCTAGAGGTGGCTTGCATAAGAAGCGAACTTGGATCCTCACTTCCTCTGAGATGGTGGCTCGTGAACTTTGTGACATGCTTTGTGATGGAAGTCACGACCATGAACATGTGATTGGAGGAAACACAGCTCGCTTGGCAGGTCGCTATCCACCGGATCTGGCAAAAGCTTTCGTTCGTGGCTTGGAACGACAATTTGAGGATGAAGGCAATGAGGTCTTCGACGCCTGCTTTGAAGCCAATGCAGCTGAAGCTGGACCTGAGCTGGGTGATGATGCGCCTCCTATGGACCTGGCAGATCCCTATGAGGAGGCCTTTGACCTGACGGATGATGTTCCTTTTCCAGACACAGTTCAGCCCACGAAGGCTCAGAAGCAGGCAGTTCTCCGTTTGCACCAGAACACTGGACACAGATCTCCACTTCGCTTGGCTAAAGCCCTAGCCATTGCTGGCGCATGCCCTGAGGTGATCAAAGCTGCCAAAGAGCTTAAGTGTGAGACCTGCGTGGAGAATCGTCGACCTGCCTCTCACCGACCAGCAAGCTTGCCAAAACCACGCCATTTTGGCGATCAGGTTCATGTGGACTTGGTGGCAGTGAAAGACTTGCATGGTGCGACCTTTTGGATCATGCATGGAATCGACGCCGTGTCCGGCTACCAGGTTGCACAGATGATGGAGGCAAAGTCTGCGGATGAGGTGGTGAAGTTCTTTCAGAGCTCATGGATCCCCATCTTGGGAGCTCCCAAGGTGGTTGTCTCTGATTGTGGCCCAGAATTCACCTCGGACAAGATGCAAGCCTGCATGGACATGCACGACATCGTCCTGTACCACATACCAGTGGAAAGTCCATGGGCCAACGGCTTGGCCGAGAGAGCAGGCGGATCCCTAAAGGTGATCATGGGCAAGCTGATCAAAGACTTCAGTTGTCAAGGACGAGATGATCTACAAGGGGCCTTGGCGGCTGCTGTTGATGCCTGCAACGCTGATGTAGGCCAGACTGGTTTTTCGCCAGCTCAGTTTGTGCTGGGAGCACAACCCAGGACGCTTGGTGAGGTGATCCCCAATGACCTGCGGCTGCGCCTTGCTTCTCATTCCTTGATTGAGAACACCCCGTCTTTTACGAGGCAGATGGCAATGAAAGAGAGTGCGCGAGTGGCCATGATCAAGATGAAGTACAGTGCTTCTCTACGCCGTGCAGAGTTCAGCCGAGCACGCAGAGCTGCCTCATGGACAACATTCCAACTTGGAGATGTGGTCTACTTCTACAGGGTGCAGAAGATGGCTGGCAGGGGCACCAAAAGAAAGCGTTTGGTGTTGAACCAATGGCATGGTCCCGGCATGATCATGGCGCTTGAGGGTGGCAAGGTTCCAACTGGTGCCTATGTCGCTTACCGAGGCAACTTGACCAAGTGCGCCATTGAGCACCTTCGACCTGCTTCGACGCTGGAGCGCCTCTCAGCAGCTGAATGGGAGGAAATCCTTTCGGAGGTGATCCGAGCTTCTGGAGGACCTGATGAATCTCCTGAAGATCCAGCAGAGCCAGGCGATGACCATGATGATCATGATGACTATGATCCCACCGAACCTGATGTCGATAGAGATGGTGATGGTGGTGGAAATGATGAGGAGGACCAAGATGACCAAGGAGGCGGAGACCATCCTGGCCATGACGGCTTGGTTCCAAGAACAGGCGATGCTGGCAAGACACCTCCAGCAGTCACCTATCCTTTTCCTTTTCAAGCAAGTGAGATGATTCCTTTGCTAGCTTCTTCAGCAGCTGGTTCTCGGGCTTCTTCATTGATTCTTTCTCAGAGCTCTATGCCTATGGCTTCCTCTTTTTCACGACAGAGCTCTACTACCCAGACTGATGGGGCAGAAGGAGAAGCACCGAAATTGCCAGCTGTTCCTGAGGAAGAAGAAGGGAGTCCTTTGCGTGAACAAGAACCTCAAGAAGCGCCAAGCACGACTGCACTGAATGCAGTTGATCCTCAAACTGCTCACGCCAATGCAGAGCCTTCTACTTCAGCTGAGTCCAGGCCTTCGAGAATGGAGAGGTCACAGGGTGCAGTTCGTCGTGCCTTGTCTGAAGGAGCTGCTGAAGAGCGAGAGGCCAAAAGAAGAACCTTTGTTCCTTTGGTGTTGAGTGGTGGCAAGACGATTGATGTTCTTCTGGCTGAGCAAGACACGAACATCCATCCACTTCTTCGAGCAATGGTGGAAGCGCAAGATGATCTGATGAATGGTCGTCATCAAGAACATGACCATGGCACATGGGATGGCAGATGGTCTCTTCCATCGAGGAGCTCATGGGAGGTGCTAGAGATGGCAGGCTGGATGTGGCCTGTGGGCGAAGAACCTCAACTTCGCGAGACTCTTCAAGCTCAAGCTGGAGGAGGACACAAAGAGATGCGATGGTCGCAGATGGATGAGGCCACACGAGAAGCTTTTCGTGTTGCGACCAGAGAGCAGTGGGAGAAATGGGTTGAGAACAATGCCATTGAAGTTCTTTCCTTGGCTGACAGCCGTGCAGTTCTTCAAGATCTTGAAAGAAAAGGTCAACTTGACCGAGTGCTTTGTCCTAGGCTGGTGCTCACGGACAAGAACGCTGGGTTACGCACAGCTGACTGCCCACTTCCGCTGAAAGCAAGCTCGAGGATCATCGTGCCAGGGTACAAGGATGCTGCCAATTTGCAAGGTGAACTTCGAAGAGATGCTCCAACTGGCAGCAGACTGGCACAACATCTTCTGTTTTGCATAGCAGGTGCCAATCCTTCCTGGTTCCTTCGCAGTGCTGACGTGCGAGCTGCCTTTTTGAAAGGTGATCCATACCTGAAGCGCACCTTGTACATCAAGGGGACTGATGGATCCAAGGGACCAACAATCCCAATTCCAGCAGGAGCTGTTGCTCGCGTCCTGAAGGGCGTGTTTGGACTGGCTGACGCACCTCGTGAATGGTGGCTTCGTCTTGACCGTGAACTTCGGCAAGAAGGCTGGTGTCGCAGCATGCTGGATGGTGCATTGCGGTTTCGCTGGAAAGGTGGCGAAGGTGAGAGCAAAGCCTTGAATGGAGTCATTGTGGGGCATGTTAATGACCTGCTTTTTACTGGTGACAAAGAAGCTTTGAGCAGTCTCACGCGCCTGGGTGAAATCCTTGGCTATGGGTCAGTGGAGGAGGAAGACTTTGTTTGGTGCGGCAAGCGCATCTACAGAGACAAAGAGACCCGTGAGATCCATGTCAACATGATGACATACCACCAGCAGTTGAAGCCGATCACGATCCCACGGAACAGGCGTTCCAATTTGGAGGCACCTTTGACGCCTTCTGAAGTGAAGACTTTGAGAGGCTTGCTGGGGTCACTACAGTGGCTTGTAGCACAGGTGAGGTTCGACATTGGTTTCCAAGTGAGCACTTTGCAGTCTGCGCCACACACGGTGAGCACCCTTCTGCAGGCCAACAAGGCCGTCGTTGACGCCAAGAAGAATGGCGACTTCTTCCTGAAGTTTGGCCACATTCCTTTGAAGGAGGGTGGAGTGGTGGTTGTGAGTGATGCCGCTTTAGGAAATGTCGACAACAATGGTTGCATTTCTGGCGAACCTTCGAAGAAGGTGTTTTCTCAGAGCTGCTACATTGTGTTGCTGGGAGACCAAGCTTTGTTGAGCGGAAAGCAAGGCCGTTTTTCAGTGCTGGATTACCGTTCTCACCGCATTCCACGCGTGGCTCGCTCAAGCTACGCAGCTGAGACGCTCGGTGCTGAGGAAGGTCTTGATGCAGGCGAGTTGGCTCGCGGGTTCTTGGCAGAAGCGCTGGGCTATCCAGTGCACCGCAAGAATGGGTACCTCTTGGTGACCAATGTGCCTTTGACTGGGGTCACGGACGCAAAAGATTGCTACGACAGAGTCACATCTGATGTCGGCTTTGGCAATCAGAAGTCCTTGATGTTCAGCATTGCCAACATCAGGCAACAGCTGAGGAGACCACAGACTCAGTACAGATGGACTTCAACCCAGAACATGTTCATCGACTGTGGCACCAAGATGATGGACAGTGCTCAATTCCGCCAGACGGTTCAGCGGGGGCAATGGTCCATCGAGTACCAGCCAGAGTTCATCAAACAGACCTACAAGAAGAAGAAAGACACCGACCTCGTGAATGACTCAAGTGAGCTTCCAGGACGTGATGTGGGAGCTGAGGATTTCGAGCTGATGAACCATGTCAACTTCTATGCCCTCTCGGCTGGATGGCACTACAAGGAGAAAGAGAACATAGGTGTGCATGTGGCCGTACATGCAAAGAGCTTTCGAAGCCCTGCACCAAGGTTCCAGCTGAGAGAGTTCCCTCTGAGGACGACGTTGGCTGAATTCAGAACCAAGAGTCTACCAAAATGGAGGATTCTTGAAGAGCGAGCAGACCTCTTGGATGTCCCAAATCCCCAAGAGATCCTGCCTGTCCGGGCCCTACGGCTCGTGACCTTTTTCGAGGCTAGGCCGGGTGCGAAACCAACAAGAAAACAAGACGGATGAGAAATTTCGTGTCGGTCACCGGACTTGGTTTCGCACATGGCATGACACGCTGTGTACCGCGGCCGACTAGGCCTTGAGCTAATCTGCTACCGGAACAAGGTTAGCAGTCGGGCGTCCTTTCGATCGTGCCATATCGTTCGCTTTGGACCCTACTGGTTTCCGCAAGTAGCGTACTAGTACAGGGTGTGGCAGCCTACTTGACCAAAGCCGCAGATCGCTTGCTGTGTTGATGCCACTTCACGCCTCGCCACTGATTTGATGACCTGAGATTGGATCGCTACTATTCTGAGTTGATCTTGAGAAGTGCACTGGACATCGGAGCCTTGACTACAACAGCACCCGCTCTGGGATTCCTAGACTCTCCAATCTTAATCTTGCTAGGCTTGCAACATGTTGCAACTCCTAAAATGTTGGTCATGCGTGAATGGTACATGTAAACTCAGGTGCTGTCATTGTTTCTGGCACACTCTTCTTTGGCGTTGCAGATAACTGGCTGCGTGGAAGGGATGCCTTTTCCATGTTTGATGGTGACCTTGCTGCATTTGTAGACAATAGCACACTAATGAGAGAATGCAAGTCTGTGTACGCAGACTGTGCAGGAACAGCGGTTGCGCAAACAAACAGCAACACCACCAAGACTGAGGAAGCAACACCACCAAGTCAAAATGTGGAGGAAGCAGAAGAGAACCCATGAGGAACGAAAGCAAAATCCGCCCGCCCCGAAGGTGCCGAGGCGTTGTGGAGGCTCGCGCAAACCGCAAGAAATCTGCTGCTGCTAGATTAAATCCTAAGCTTTAACTTGGGGGGGGCAGTTTGAGTTACGAAATGCTGTGTTTTGCAGTGTTGTTTGAAGATTTATTAATATTTATTACACAAAATGATATGGTTTTGGACCAAACGTTGGCGATGCTGGTTAATCCGCTTGGCAGAAATCGCGTTATCGATATCGCTGACGCATGTGCAACCTGGGGACACTGCATCGTTGACATCATGGGTGTGTTCATCCGTGTGTCCTGCCCAACCGAAACACAGACTGACAGACCGAGATAGACAGACCGAGACAGACCGACTGAGACAGACAGAGGCCGAGACAGACAATTGACATCGTGCGTGTGTTCGTCCGCGTGTCTTGCGCGACCGAGACAGACAGATTGACAGACCGAGAAAGACAGACCGAGACAGAACCCTCTGTGAAAAGGCTGGTGGCTAGATAGGGCCATAGCGACCGAGAGCCCAAGTTGCTAGTTCCCGGCTCCGCGAGCGCAGGTTGCTGCCGAGCCGGTAGGGTGATAATTACACAATTACACACGTTTCCCATGTATGTCTGGATGTGTGCTTGCATGTATGTATGTATGTATGGATCGATGTTTGTGTCTGTTTGTGTGTGTCTGTTTCCCCTTTACTCTGTGCGGGCGGCTTAGACCGCGAAGCGGTGTGAATATACAACTTATATAACTTATATGTTGAATTAGACGTGCAAGTCGCAGGCTTTCTATATCTCGAGGCTTACTGCTTGATTGAGCCTGACTGAGGCTTGTATTTTTCTGTCGCTGGAGCATCATCGGTGGGTATGCAGGGCTTCTCAGATCCCCAACAGACTAGCAGCACTTGCATGCTCGCTTGAGTGTGAGTATAGGAGAGGAGGTGGGGCCCTATGCCTCACAATTGCATATGTTGGCCTACCCAGCTGGTTTGTTCGTATTTGTTTGTACCGGTATCTCAACCTTTTTGGCAAACTTTTCTTCGCCTCTCAATCTCCCCACTCAAACTGACATTGTCAGTGCAGCTGCCTCCAGTCCAGGTAGTTGACATTTAGTACAATTGCAGCATGCCAAAAATAAAGACAAAAGGCTGAGATCAACACATCCCCTGCAACTCAAGGTCTACCATCGTTGCAGATTGGATGATTGCATGAAGTCGGTAATGTTGTTGTCATGTTCCGTTGTTTTGCCCATGCTAAGCATTGGCAATCTCACAGTGCAGTGTCAATGCTGTTGTTCTGGACATGTTTGTACCTTGTGCTGATCATTTTTTCGCCCCAAGGTTAGGAAACGTGGCAGCAATCACTTCAGTCGAGAAGGCCCGATTTGGACTGCATGGTTTGGTGGACCATGAGCCTACAGACCGTTTGCTTGTGAAGCTGTACTTGTGAAACGAGTCCGAAAGGTGGCCTCCATGGGCCTGTTTTGCTATGGATGCTACAGTTGCGTGGCTCTTTCGGCGGCGAGAGAACCTTTCGACGTGCCGTCGGTGCCAACCGAGACGGCCCAAGGTTTCAATCGATTTATGATGTTTGCCTCAGAGGCTGGATTTTGCTTGCCTTTGAATGAATAGTGTTGTTTGGCAACGCCCCGAAGGTATTTGCATACAAGGCCGCAGCTGCTAGGTATGTGGAACAACGAAGAGAATGCACTTGTATGACTTTGTATGCGCTTGTATGGGTTTTGCTTCTCAGTGAATCATGGACAGATTGAGAACTCTCAGAACATCGTGGCCGTTCTGCCACCAGGACTGTTCTGTCATGCATGTGAAAAACATTGAAAGACAGTGCTGTCATTCGAGTTTGGAGATGTCACATGTTAAAACATGTTAAAACAAGAAGGTTTTCTTCGACTTGTTTGTGGATGCAAAAAGTGTCAACCAGGCTTTGGGCACAAACTCCAGCGACTCCGGAAGGGAAACTCAGCCCTTTGGCTCCAAAGTTGGCAAGTGTGGCTAAATAAGAGTATATATTATATATAATGTGTTGCTTATTGTTTATAGAGGTTATATATATATATATATATATTTAGCCCGGTAGCTAGTAGCTTTACTACCTACGGACGCAGGATAGCTCACCCTTCTTCACGGGGGAAGCTTCCTTGAAGAAGCGCTCGCACTATTCATGTGGTTCTTAGATTTTTTTTGTTTATTTAATTAAACCTATAGTAGTTCATCAGTTCGTACAGGGATTCGACTCATATCCATGTTGCTCTTATCAAGACTCTTTGTTCACTAAATTTCAGTAATCAAACCAAGGCCGGGATTTTTGTTGGAATGTGAACATGTTGCAAGGCACCAGAACCATCGCACACAACTGCCCCAGGAATACAGATGACCGGACATATCAAAACAATGGGTTGTTATGTACACAGCAAGTGGATGTAAGCAGCTGTTCTAATGAATCTGATTTTCTGACTACCTTTAGCCTGTTTCCTTCCCGTTTTGTCGATTGGACAGTTATCAATATGGTTTGTTTTGTAGAATGCGCTCAGCACTCGTGCTGCAGGTTTCACCAGGCTTCGCTATTGGAGTTCTTGACACATGCAACACTTACGTAGAACTTGGATATTACAATGGATTCTTACTCATTACGGTTTCCATGGTTGTCCTATTCTGTTCATCAAAAAATCATGTTGTCACGATTGGTGTTATAAAGTTTTGAGGCGAGAGATGTCTCTCGCATTGCTTCTGTGTCGACTGCTGAACAGGAGGCGACAAGTGATGTTTGCATGATTTTGCATGTGTTGTTTTATAATCGGCTGCTTTTCTTAACATGCTGTAGCTTGTGTGTGCGTGTCCACAGGAGTTTCCACCTTCCAGTCCAGCTGCTCAAAGGACATCAAGATCGTCAAGGTGAAGCACTGACTGCAAACACCTTCAAACATCTTCAAACTCTCTCAAAATGCAATCCCGAACGAACTCTTGCACAATACTACACATGGGCTGCGCATGTATGTGTACCAGATTGTACCAGTGTAAGAGGACGCGTATGGCAAACATGTCACATGTAATCGTTAATAGTCATTGATTGTTCCAGGGATTTGCCGTGATTTAACCTTGGCCACTCAAACACGAGTGTGATCGAGTGTGGCTGCCCTGTGAAAGTCTTTTGCTCAGAGGCCTTCGAGGCAAAACGTCACAACTCTCCCAGCCCCAACTGCTGAGGTCGACTCTTGACTCTGATTCAATCTTTTTGAAACGGAACTGGACTCGTTTTAAGTGTTGCTTTTATGTGTTCCAATCTACGTGTCACATCTCTAATTCCAAACGTATGAACAAGGAGGAAGAAGGCCAAGAAGAAGGCGTTGCTGCTTTTTGGACGCAGTCGTTTGCAATGCATAATTGTTGCAAGTCGTTACACTTCAGAGCATGTGAGATGGCATGAGACAAGTTTTATTGTGGGTACACGGCTGAAGCCACTTCACAGAGTCCTGCTTTTGCCAAATAACTCTCCACAGTGGATTCAAGTGATGTTGATATTCTTGTCAGTAACCATGTCGAAACATGAGTTTCAACAGCAATCCACTCAGTCACCACTGAGCATACTGAAACACCTCCTGCTGGAGACGCCAGGATCCCTGTGAAGGAGCTGAAGCCACAATTGCCAGAGTGGATGGGATGATCTCTTCAAAGAAAGAAGGACAACAGATCAAGAACTGTTCACGAGGGACATTGGATGACAAAGCTTCAATAGCCCCTAGCTTTGCTCAACAAGATCTGAAGGGGAAGACTGAAGTTGTCAACCTACCCTCCTCCAACAAACATGGAAGTGGACAACCCCCTGTTTGTGGAGAAACATCGTTCTTCCAGTGGTCATGATCGACTTCCATCATTGTCGGAGGGAGGGAAAGTGATATATACACTGTATATTTGCAATTTTGTTCTAAGTTCCAGAGTCTTAGGGGAATTGAAGTACAATATATATGTAGAAGTAGCATTTTCTTCACACCTAACGCAGTTTTGATGTCTTGAGATTGGCATTAAAACTCCATGTAAAAGTCACCTCCCATGTGGCAGGACCATTTACTGGACTTAAGAGGATGCTGCAGCCTACAGCTGATGCATGCTGATGCCTATGATTCACAAGCACAAAGAGTACAAAACAATTGCGCATTTGGAGATTTCCGTGGAGGTTTGAACAAAAACGCTTTCAGTTGCTCAGCTACTCATTTCATACGGACACTGTCACAACAGCTATGAATGAAGCCCTGAGATAGAAATTCTATCAGAGAGACAAGTGCGTCGTTGTTCTTGTTTCTCCTCTTCAGATCTTTATGTATAAACTATATTCAATATGCATTCTTGTTTTGTTTGCTTCATGTTTGGCCGGCGGCTGTGCATCGAGAATCCTCTTCTTTGCTGTCCATCAAGTCCCAAACCGGCTTGAGCATATCCAGCACCAGTGCCTTGCGTGAGACTGATGTTTACAATTAAGCAAAGCCGACAAACGCATGGACATGATGATTGAAGGTTGCTACTCTTTCTGTGTGCAACACGAACAAGAAGATACGCAACGGATTCGTGGACCAGCAGAGTAGATGTCCGAAGACAACAGACACAGCAGGAACATCTTATTGAAGATACCACGGCTCACCTGATTCTTTCGGCAATGTCCAACCAAGGCAATCTGCTTGTACAACTGAACTATGACTTATCGTATCATTGTTGTTTTTTCTTTTGTCCATTCCTCATAGATCCAACTCTTTTCTTGGTCAGGTCAAGAACACGAGGAAGAAGGCGAGCATCAGGTGTTTCTTTTTGGTGAACAAAGAGTTGACAAGACTGCAGAAAGCATGAGAACGGTTCAGAAGCTAGTAGTAACAAGTGCATCGCTACTAGTAACAGGTGCCTTACTAGTAGTAACAAGGTTCGCTACTAGAAACAAGTGCCTAAGAGTACAGTCCTGCGAGTTCCGTAGATTTTGCAGGCGCCACTGCAAGCCAACCCTTGGAGAATACAGGCAGCGTGGTAGGGTTGGGTGGCTTGTGGTGGCTTCATATCAGACGCAGTCTTAGCAGGAGAGGCTGAACGGAGTGAACGCACGGAGCACCAACGAGCCAAGGACTGTTGGGCTCGGCTATGCTCGGTTGGGCTATTGTGGGTTGTGTGATGTAACTAAATCTTCACGGCACCTCAAGGCACCTGTATGATTTTGCCTCATGTGAACAGTTCCCCCCTAGTATTCCGCACATGTCCCCAAACGCGAAAAATCAGCGTGTCAAAAACTATCTTTCCAAGTGCACTCAGTACCTTGCCAGGATGTTTTCCTGCGAGAGTCCTTCTATGCATGTACTGGTCCTGGTATGCCCTTATTTTTTTCAAAGCTGGATTCACAACGGAATCTTCCCCTTTCTTGCACTTCCGGTGGAAGATTGAGAAACAGGAAGTTCTTGACCTGCAGCCACTCTTTATCATTCTTTATCTATTTGTTCCGTGCCTGCAACTCCGCTGGGCTTCTTTGGAAGACCTTGCAAATCTGTAATCAGCCAAAGAGACTTAGCAGCCTTTGGCCAGCAAAGAGCATCATCAAAGTAAAATCATGACGTAATAATGTTCTCTTATTTTTCCCCCCAGGGGCCCTGCGTATTTTGAAGTAGCGCACACACACACACACCACATGGAAGCATGATATCATTACCCCCGACCCATCCCCCCAGTGGCCCTGCGGGTAATGTGGAAGCACCGCAATTACTAACCAGACAACATTTACATGACATGCAAAACGACAAGCGTACGGTGGTGACGGGCGTGACACCAATGACAACGATGAGACTCTGATGATATCAATGACAACCTACCTGATGAATAGCACGACAAACACAGCAGAATCACAACAAGCAACTGCACGAAACCACAATAAACGGAACGAAACCACCTTGCGACTGAGAGTACCACCAGCAGCTAGCTAGATTGCCCAAAACCAATCCCATTTGATTGATCTTGATTGAGTTGATTCATGGAAGCTCTGACACTGCAAGCTTGGGTACTAGTTTGTCTCGAACTTTGTCATATGCTGTGCGACTCCCCAGAATCGTCAGGGTGGTGGCCGCAACCGAGGAAAAGGCTCACAGCTGCTTTCAGAACTCCGTGACATGTCAGTGTGATATTCTGTTGACCTGAGTGGAGGCCAAAGTCGAGCTGCTGGAGGTCATGGTGGCGGTGGATGGGGAAATTGGAAATCGCAAGGCGTCACATGGGCATGGTCCAGCATGGACTGATCATCCACCAAGCATGGATTCACTACCCGCCGCTGTATGTAGTAAATGGACACCACTACCCTTGACATCCCTTGACTATGAAGCATCAGCCCATTAACTTTATATCAGCTTACGGGCTTATAGTATTAATTTGCCCCTTGAATCTACAAACAAGAGAACATTCTTCAGTAGACATCCACATTCCGTGATTACGGCTCTATGATGTATCATTATGTGTATGTATATATATATCATGTTAGTTTGAAAGGATCCATATCATTGAGGTAATGCGGAGAGAAGGTGGTTTTAGGCTTTGGCCTCCGAACGAAATGGGTTCCCAGAGCGAAATTCAACTTGACATTTTACCTAATCTGTTTCTTGCAGCTTTCAGTTTTGCAGCTTTCAGCTTAACAGGCGGCAGCAAATCACATCGCAGTGGCCCTGGCAACATGCATGTAGACGGTGCTGCTGCCTTTGACGTTCTCTCAGGGCCAATATTGATCCTCGGAGACCCTCCGCAGGCGGGACCAGAACAGGTGGCATGGTGAGTTAAGGGGATGGTTCATGCCACGGAAGAGGCAAATTAACCATACTTCTGGTAGTATAGATGCCCAATATGTGAATATTTAGCCCCATGAAATGTTGACCACCTGACTCTTGACATGAGTATGTTTGGCAAATACCTTTCACTTAAAAATCTTTGCTCCATGTCCCCAGCGGTACCGAGGTGTGTGTGTGTGTGTCAAACCCTGTTCCTAAGGGCTGGTTCCTTTTGTTTTGGTTTTCAAGCAGGGGGCTCACGGGTCTGTTCCTGGCGTGAGCCAACGAAGCTCCAGGTTCAGACTAGGATATCGAAAGAGGACGCTCTTTCGACGTACCTGCGCTCAACTTTTGATCAATCTGTCCAATTGGATCGGTTTGTTTACATGGTCCTTCATGCTACCACCCCCAAACAGGTTTCCCTCCGCTTTGCAGCCGCTGATCGCCGCTTTTACTTGAGCTTGCTGTGAAACTTTTGTTAAACAATAGTTTTCTGCGGACTCATGCACCTTTCTGTTCCCTCGCCTTCCTTCTCGACTTGGAAACCAATGTCAGAGTGTGAACCGCTCAGCCGTCCCACTTGGGTGCTGGGTGTGATCCCCGTCACTGGGGCGCTGAATTCATGCTGGAAATCGTGTAACGGATTTTTAGTCTCCTTCGTTCTGTGGATTTTCTTAACTGCCTTAGTGTCACCACTGAATTGCCTGAATCATGAGCCGCCGGGCTTTCACGGAAAGAATCACTTTGCTTCATGTTGAATTAGCCGCCGGGCTTTCACGGAGAATAAGCCCAGACGTGCTTCTACCCCAAACACCCCAACCCCTCCCCCCCACTAATTAGGGTAACAGAGGGAAATGGTACTCGACACACTTGTGTGTCGGTGCCTTTCCCTCTGTTGTCCCTTTCTAGTCTACTCTACCCGGGCGGTCTAAGACTAAAGTCCCGCTCCCTAACTATTGCGCTTGATTCATTTCTGCTAAGTAATCAGTAACTCTAGAGTGCTAAGTATTCAGACACACACACATGTACACACACGTGGACATACACCCCATCCCTGCCCCCCGCTTTCCTTCTTGCGTTTTTCGTCGTTTGTTGTGCTTTCTTTCAGGCTTTTTAGGTGTTTCTTGAGGCTCGTTTCCCTACCCCAGCCAAGGGCTAAGTATTCACCTTTTGCGTCACATGTGCGCCGAAAACGGCCATGTGTGTGTGTGTGTCAAACCCTGTTCCTAAGGGCTGGTTCCTTTTGTTTTGGTTTTCAAGCAGGGGGCTCACGGGTCTGTTCCTGGCGTGAGCCAACGAAGCTCCAGGCTCGGACTAGGATATCGAAAGAGGACGCTCTTTCGGACTTACCTGCGCTCAACTTTTGTTCAAGCTGTCCAATTGGATCGGTTTGTTTACATGGTCCTTCATGCTACCACCCCCAAACAGGTTTCCCTCCGCTTTGCAGCCGCTGATCGCCGCTTTTACTTGAGCTTGCTGCGCACGAAACTTTTGATTGCGTCGGCAGTGCGGTCCCTGATTTGTCCGCCGAAGACGCGGAGCTTCACAGCGTGCCTGAAGACGCGGAGCTTCGCCCGAAGACGCGAAGCTCCGAAGACGCGGAGCTTCGGAGCTTCAGCCGAATGACGCGAAGCTCCGAAGACGCGGAGCTTCAGAGCTTCAGCCGAAGAC